TCCATTGTTCAGTAGAGCGGAGCCTGACCATGTAGCGATGTGCGATGTGCTTTGGTCTGCCCATCGCCCCTCCCCTCCTTGACCCTCCGCCCTCCTACCATCTTACCCTTTTGGGGGGCGAGTTGGGCCCCCTGACCCGAAGCCTTAGGGTTCTGTAGTGTGCTCCGGTGGCTTGTTCTCGTGACCCGCCGCTTTGGGACAGAGTCGCCCGCTTTCAGGGCCAGGTAGTTGATTCCTTCTCTGGATATCTTCGTGTGGGTTCTCTTTGATCTGGCCTCTGAAGGGAACGTGTAGCCTTCGGAGTTGAAAGGGGCTATGTCCAGGCACGTTATCGTCTGGCGAAAGTTCCTTTGTGTAGTGGGCCTCCTGGGCGCTACATCACCTCCTTAGAACGGGTGCCCTCTAATCTTGATCTGAACGATGCTGCTTTTGAGCCACAGGCGTTCTTTCCTCTGGTTGTTCCATAATGCATGGACAGACTTGCTTGCCAAAGAGGGGGCTCGATATACTGATGTCTCTCGGATGCCTAGTTCTTGACTCTTGATTGCCATCTTATGATAAAAAAGGGATCACGCATTTTGCCAGATATCGCGGCTGGGCCGTAGCACGCAGTTGAGTTTGTCAAGAAGTGGGGGGGATGATGCCCAATCTTGCCCTGTTCGAAACGTCCTTGGGGTCCGCCTCTGAGCTTCACCGATCATCACCTGGTTCGGATTCGCTCGAGAGACGAGAGCTTCTGCACGTTTTGCAATACGTCGGCTCACGCTTCGCGATCTTACGAAGGGGGCGTTACGCATTGCTAGCACACGCGTACCAGAGCTGGGCGGCCCAGAAGCTCTCCTCATGGCCCGATTCCTCGGTCCATCGTCGAGCCCGCCGAGGCCCCCGGAGTCCGAGCAGATGGGGTCGGAGGATCGCGCCTCATCGCAGATGCATCGGCGAGGCGGCTCGATGTGGGGCCTGATGTTCTCCACGCCAACGTCGCCGATGCATCGCCGATGTGTCGGCGATGCGGCGCGATCTCCGTTCCCATTTATTCGGACCCCATTCGTGAGGCCTCCATGAGTCGACTGCCCCATCATGCCTCCATCGAGGACATCCTCAAACGACATGGCCATAGCACTCTCTGCAGATGTCTGTCATACTGCTGTAAGCTCTGTGGCGCCTTCCGAGCCCCGCGGGGAGCGCTGAGAAGTTGCGTGGGTGAGCACAAGGCGTGCGGCGATCGGATCGTCCGGCTTGCAGAATGGAGTCATGAGGAGGGTGCGGTTAAGTTCGGCCGATGGTCATTTTGTTGCGGACTTCAATTAGGGGCACCAATACGGAGAGAGGGAATATGCTCAGGGGGGATGCACCCCCCCAAACGTTCCCCCTCACAGAGATTGGCGATCGCATTGATTTTCCGCTTGAGCGTTGTAGAGGTGCCTCTGCAGACGCTTTGCCTCAGAACGCGTTTTGAGAGCTTCCATGTCGGTCGATTGTGACAAGCACTCTTACGCTTGCTTCGTGGTTGACTCAGTGGCGGCGCAATGAGCCCCAACAAAGAGTGCGGGCCAGTGGTTTGTCCACACCTCCTAAGTGGGTGTCTTGTTTTCTCTGGACACCCCCACGCAGGAAAGGACCTCATCCCTCTGTCCGCCTCTCCTCCTTTCAACTCTCCATCACCATCACATCACCATCACCACCACTATAACCAACACCAATACCATCCTCAACAACATCACCATCGTCAGACTCCTTTTACACTCATCATCATCATCATCATCATCATCATCATCATCATCATCATCATCATCATCATCATCATCATCATCATCATTATCCGTAGCCCTGTTGGGCTCGAGGCCGTCTCTGGCTCAGGCTGGGTTTCAGGGCTCGTGCTGGGGAGCTGTCGATGCCCTTGAGCTCCAATGACGTCCTCGGAGAGCGGCTCGGAGAGCGTCCGCGAGGAGATCGAGACCCAGGTGAGGGCCGCCACGGCGGAGTTTCGGAGGCAGCTCCAGGCTCTGCAGGCGCAGGTGGCCGATCTGCAGCGGCGCGAGCGGGCCAGGGCGGGGCAGGAGCCCGGGCATGGCGCAGACGTGGCGGGGCAGGCGTGCCAGAAGGGTTCGGAGTTGGTTGACGGTTTGAGCAGGGGGCCAGAGGAGGAAGAGGAGGAGGAAGAGGTGCAGGAGATGGAGGATTTGCCCGAGACGCTTTTCTCGTACTGCATGGCGCAGCTGGCGATCAATCCCGAAAGTATCGCCGAGCCGGTTGCCTATTTGGTTCTACAGATCAGCATTCAGCTCGGATTGGCGATGTCTTTCGTATCAGCAACCGTCGGCGAATTCTTCGATCTGCATTGGAACGGGCTTGAGATGACACCTAAGTTGTGCTTATACCACGAAAACGTCATAAACCACCACCCATATCAAGACATATTTGCCGCCATTTGCTGTTTCTGTCTCGCCGCCGTGTCTATGATGGCCGATGACAAAGAACTATTATCATGCATCTACCCAAATAGGTCCCATTCCCTACGTGTTCGCGCAGTGGCCACCATCGCTTGGTGCTTTCAGGGCTTCGTCGTGCCTTTGACTTTGTTGGCCTCGATTCCTGTCCTCATGGCAAACAGCATGACTGCTGTTGACGTGGTAATGAATGGTCTTGCCGTGCTGTTTATTCAAAAGGCTTACACCATGCCGCCGACCTCCAGAAGAGGGTAGAGTCCACGGTTGAGCCGTCGTGGGTTTTTTGGGCACCACGTTGGAATTATTGTGGGCGTTTTGAGAGTTGTTTGGGAGCTTGGCGGAGCCTCTTGTAGGCAGTATTGTAGCGGGTTGGGGGCCGCCTTGGGGCCTCTTTCGGGCATTTTTGGGCTTATTGGGGGCCTCGTTTGGGCCGCTTGGGGGCTTTTAGGGATCTGGGGGGGCCTCTTGGTGCGGAAAGATAGGATTTTCGGTTCGTGTTCTCCCTCTTCGCTTGTCTTGGGGCCCTTTGAGGGCGATCTTTGGCCGTCTTGGGCCCCTTTTTGGGCCGTCTTGGAACTCTCTTCGACCGTCCTGGGGCCCTCGAAGGGGTCTCTTGGGCAGTTTTCGGGCGGTCTACGCGGCCTCTTGGGCCGTCTTGGAGAGTTGGAAGCTCGAGAAGACGATAAACGCAGAAAACACCCACGGAAAACCATTGCCTTTCGGGGCCATCTTGGGAAGGCTTTTGGGGCGTCTCGAAGGTGTCTTGGGGCGTCTTGGAGCCATCGTAGACGTCTTGGGCCAATCGTTCCGCGATTCGGGGGCCGTCTTGGAACGTCTCTGAGGCCACGGACGACAGATTTAGAAGCTCCGGAGTCTCTGGGGGTGCGCCGACGAGACTGGATGACCCCACCCCCCCAACCTCCCCCCCCTTGATCTGGATTTTGGACCCTGGGGGAGGGAGAAAAAGGGAGGGGGACAGCCAATCATCTCACCCGCCCTCTCGTCCCCAGCAAGCGGGGGTCGGCGGATTCTTGATGTCGATGACATGTTGTACGTACTTGTGCCATCGTCTTCTCGCGACAGGCTCAAAGGACAGTTTTTGACACAGAGTTCTGCATGCCGATGGGCCAGATTAGATCCAGCAAACGTGGAAGTCGAAGCTTTCATCATGGGTGCCTACAAATTCGTTTACCTGGTAATCTCCTACTTGACATACGTGGTATACATGTTGCCTGCGACCGGCCCGGCCTTGGCTGCATTGTGGTTCTCTGAAGACGACGTTGTTCATCGCGCTCTTGAAAATATATTCACGTATTGCATGCTGCCATGTATTAGCACATTCGCTTGGCATAAACCGGTGGACGCTCGTGATGCCATGACTACGATCGGACGTGCAGCATTCACAACCGTGTTTGGGGTGATCTTGCCTTTTTGCGTTGTGTTATTCCTACACAGCTGGTTTTTGGGCACACCTGGTTTGTCGGAGAGCAGCAAAATTATCGAGTGCTACAACACGACGTACGACGAGAGTGGCCCATCCGGTGGCATTGTGATCTAGGCGGCTTAAGCGTTTGTTTGCTCAGCGCCCGTAGTGTTGCAAACGCACAGCCATATCATCCCTCTTCTTATCCTTGCTGCACTTCCCGCTCCGCGACACGCGCCAGCGGACTCGCAGTCTTGGGCTGGTTGTTCTGCCGACCTTATGCGCGCGTGTGTTTGGCATGTGGCCGCGAGCGGCCGACTCCCGAAAAATTGTTGCTCCGCCGAAGGCGGTCATGCTTTTTATAATTGGTGAGCCCCGGGCAACAACATGCTTCTTGGAAGCCACATGTGTTTGATGGGTGTATGTCGAACGCACCTTCTGTGTTTGAATAACTTTGCGTGACATGGTGACGTCCGCGTGCACCGTTCTGTGCTAGGAGATCCGTTGTTTGTTGCAAGGCGCACTTGTCAATCGCATTGGCGACGAAAGTAAGGAAGGTATCAATACCGGCCTGACGGGGCCTCTGTTAATTCTGATCATTATCAGCATCCCATCACCGTCCCATCATCATCATCATCATCATCATCATCATCATCATCATCATCATCATCATCATCATCATCATCATCATTTTCATCATCATCATCATCATCATCATCATCATCATCATCATCATCATCATCACCACCACCACCACCATCATCATCATCATCATCATCATCAGTATCATCATCATCACCATCAGTATCATCCTCCTCCCCCTCATCATCATCATCATCATCATCATCAGCATCAGCATCAGCATCATCATCATCATCATACGTGGCGGGCGGGGTCATTTGGGAGGGGTCTCTCTCGCCCTTCCTGCCTCAATCGGCCTCGTGACATTGAGTGCAACACGTTCCATATCATCATCCTCACCATCATCATCATCAGAATCAGCATCAGCATCATCATCATTATCACCATCATCAACATCATCACCATCATTACAGTCACCTTCACCATCACCACCACCATCACCCTCATGGTCATCAGTCATATCATTTTCATCATTGCAATTCTGCCTCAAGCACTTGCTTGTCCCCGTGGCTTGCTGAGCGCGTCCGCGCCGCCTGCACTGCTCCCACCATGGTCGTTGCTGCCAGGCTGGAATGGGTTCGTCGACAGGTGGAGGGTGGAGCTGCTGCACATTTCACCTGCAGCTCATCCAAGATGGGCAGGAAGACCAATATCAGTACCTCATTGGACTCCACGGCCTCGCCCACTTCTCCGACCTCGCGATTCCTGCTGCTCGCCATGGCCGGCACCATTTGGGAGGTGGTCAGCCGTTGTTCTTCGGTTGATCGTGGAAATCATTATTCGGTTGTGCGTCAAGAGGTGCGCATATGGATTCACAACCCTGGGCTTAGACCTCAACCGTGTAAAGACGATGAGATGATGATTGTAATGAGTTTGATGACGATGGTGATGATGAAAACGATTGTGATGATGATGATGATGATGATGATGATGATGATGATGATGATGATCCCCAAGATTGTCTTGATCCGCCTGATCCACTCCACGAGGGCTGTCCCCCTGATCGCCACCATCCTGGCGGAAACCAGTCGGCCTCACGCCGCTCAAGCAGATCACCTGCACTTCAGGCACCTCGGCGGCAACCTGTTCACGCTCTTGGCGGTGAAGGCGGACTACAGCACGCCTTTCCTCACGGCGGTATATGTGATGATCCTGACGCTCGTGGTGAAGTGCACACTGGCAGTGGGAGTTTGGTTGCTAGCTTGCCGAAGGTCCCTACCTTCCCTTTCATCGCGGACCCGAATTCTTTCTCAATTTGGACGCAATAGTCTGGGTTTGTGCCGACCGTGGTGATGCAGAGGTTCGTGCAGAGCTTCCTGATGACGGCATGCCTGTCCTTAACCAGGTGATGGATGATTCTTTTCGGGCAACGAATACGATGTTAGACCGTATGGTTGGCACCCTCGTTTGTGCCGATGTTCCTCATGACGCGGGTCGTACTGACCTTCCTGAGGCAGATGATCGTGGCGCTCGTGGTGGTGGAGTGTCTCGTGGCAGTCTCCCCCTGATGCCGCTATTCGTGTGGCTGTTCGTGGCGAGTGTGATGGCAGTGTTGTTCGCGAGGCTGCTCGTGGCGATCTCCCTGGCCAGCTTTCCGTGCCTGTCCTGATGGAGATTTCCATTCCGATCCCAACGATGACGGTATTGCCGCCCTTCACAATATGATGGATGACCTTATCAGGGCAACCACTGGTGCGATGTTAGATCTAATTGTTGGTTGTGTTGGTTTTCTTGGTGACATTGGTTGCGCCGTCTTTCCTGGGCAAGTTGATCGTGACTTGCCTCACGATTGGAGCGGTCGTGGCGATCTCCCTGGTGCAGGTGTGCGTGGGACCGTTCGTAGCGATAAGGATGATAGAGCTGGTCGTGGGCTGGATCGTGGCGATCACCCTGATACAGCTGTTCGGTCTGACTTTCCTGACTGAAATGTTCGCTCTGGCATGAATTCGGGAATGGATCGTTGTCGGCAGTTGCTTCGTGAGATCGGAGTGCGCCCGATACGTGGCCCGAGATGGGCGGCGGCGACGGCTCCCTGCTGATGTCTGCGGCTGGGGTCCTGGGTTTCTTTGGTCCAGTCCGCGGCGGGCGTCTCCGGCATGGCGCCTTCTTCGCCTGACAGTTCGCATGCGTGTTCCTCGTGCTGCTGCGCATCGTCCGCCTCGTCGTGCGCACCTTCCTTGCGACGCTGCGCACCTTCACGCTAGAGGCTTTCTGCGCTGGAAGTTCGACGGTTTCCTGGTCATCGGGTGCACGGTGGGCCTGGGCTTCGCTAAAAGGCCCCCTCGGTTGTCGTCGGATCGGCACCGCTGCTTCCCCGAAAACCATCATCACCATCATGATCATCATCAGCATCAGCATCATCATCATCGCCCTTAACAGCAACATCACCATCATCACCATCATCATCAGCCTCATCACCATCACCATCGTCATCATCGCGCACATTCACACACTCACACGTCCCACAGGTGCCACAGGCTCCACCGGTTTCACAGGCCCCGCAGGTCGAACAGGTCCCACATGTCACACGTGTCCCATAAGCCTTGCAAGTCGGAACGGCCTCACAGGTCGCATCTTGGCATCCCCATTAGTTTCAGCATCATCATCAGCATCACCATCGCCATCGCCATCGTCATCGTCATTACCATCAGCAGCATCAGCATCAGCATCATCATCATCACCATCATCATCATCACCATCATCATTATCAACACCGTCGTCATCGTCATCATCGTCGTCGTCGCTATCATCATCAGTCGAGCACTAGGGAATTCTCGTCAGTGTAATTTCCAGCCGATCGTGGCCTCTGGATCCCGGCTTTTCTTCTTGCCAGGCTCAACGGGTCCCCATGCACACAGGATCCCAGGGAATGTGTTTCTGGCGCGGTGACACATTGGTTTCGGGCCGATGGGGCTTGCGCGCGCCCGTAGAAATCCATGGCTTATGATTCCTCTCGTTTCGCGGGGTGCACGTCGGAGCACGTACAGTCAAGTCGTTCCGGGGCCTCTTGGGAGCTTCTTTGTGGCCTCTTGGAGGTGTCTTGGGGGCTTCTTGGGGCCTATTCTGCACTGCGCTTTTTTGGGGCCTCTTGGGGCCTCTTGGGGGCGTCTTGGGCCGGTAGAAATCCATGGCTTGTAATTCGAAAGGCTTACGCCATGCCGCCGACCCCCAGACGAAGTGAGTCCAGGGAAAGTGCGCGGGCCAGGTGTGCTCGTGAATGTTGTACAGGAGGAGGAGGAGGAGGAGGAGGAGGAGGAGGAGGAGGGGGAGGAGGAGGAGGAGGAGGAGGAGGAGGCGGAGGAGGAGAAGGAGGAGGCGGAGGAGGAGGCGGAGGAGGAGTAGGAGGAGGAGGAGGGGACTGCACGGGTTTCTAGTCATGTTGGGCTGACATCTCACACGTCCCTGGACTCGCGGCAGGTGGATGCAGGCGGAGTCGGATCAGAGTCGGACCACGCAAAGTTGCTGGTAGCACAACAGTCTGGGTGTGTGTGTGTGTGTGCCAAGGTTTCGTCTGGTGGCCGCCTCGTGGGCGCTTCGTGCGTTGAGTGGGTGTGCCGAGGTTTTGGCTGGTTTTCTCCCGTGCGGTCGGTTCGCGTCGTGTCGACCGGCGGCGACCCCGCCGCTGGCGTTCAATGTTGGACGCCGCCGGTGGCCCAGAATCGGTCGATGTTGCGCTCTAACGTTTCGGAAGCCGCCGATCGTTCAAGGTGGAGCGATCCCCGCGGTGTCGGGAACCAACGATGCATCGGCGATGCGTTTCGATGTGCAGTACGAGTTTCTCCACGCTGGCGTTGCTGATGCACTGCCAACGTCGCCAGTGCATCGCCGATGCATCGGCGATGCATCGGCGATGCGGCGATATCCTCTGGCCCCATCTACTCGGACCCCCATATGGGAGGCCAGGAAATGTAATCGCGATAGGAAGTGTAATATGACGATGTAGAAGTCCACGGGTGTGGCCTTGTGGGTGTCATAGAGGGGCGTCTGGAAGCCTCGTCAGAGTTTCCTGGGCGCTTGCTGGCTGTTTCTTGGGCGCCGTCGCGCGCATGGGATACCTTCCAGTGTCCTGGTGCGTTGGGGGAACAGCCACCGCGCATGGGGCTCAGTTATCCTGCGCTTCTCGGGAGGGAGCGCTGAAAAATGGCGCGCGTCACGCATGAAGCGAGATGTTCCCAGAGTTCCCCATCTTGGGGTTCGGATAATGAAGGAAAAGCAGGAAAAAGGATAAGATAACGACGGCTGCGAAATGAAGGAGGAACAAGAGGAAGATACGGAGGACATCGGGACGGTTTCTAATGCTGTTCAGGTCTTGTTTGACGCCCTTTCGCAGCTGGGTGGTGTCGTTGGAAATTCTCGGAAACCTCTGGAGGATATCTTTCGGATATTCTGAAGCCTCCTGGGGGTTACTGGGGCATATTCGGGGCCTGCGGGCGGCCTAAGTGGCGGCTCTTGGAATTACTTCAAGGCTCCCAGGGATTTGGGGGGGGGCAGTTGGGTTGTTCTGGCGGGGCCCTGGAGCCAGTTAGGGGTTCTTGGGGGTGTGAGACGACTCCAGGGCCTCTTCTGCGGCTTACCCCCTTCGGGCCGCATTCAGGTTGTTTTTAATTGTCTTGGGGCCTATTGGGCCGTTTTGGGGTCCTCCTTGGCAAGCCCTTGGCCTCTCTTGCCGGATCCGTTTATCTGTTGAAGCCGTCATTCGGTTACTGAAACCGGTTGACGTTTGATTGTGGTTGTTTTTTGAGCAATGGGATGCGTTTATGCTTGCCTTGTTTGATTGGACGCCCCATATAGCATGATGTCGGATACGTAACATGGGAAAATATGAGTTTTGGCGGGTGCGCCACATGTTTTTTTGCCCGCAAGCATTGGCGGGTGAAGTCCCAGCGCCAGGTAATCCGACAAACCATTATCCGAACGAGGCAAGACTTGTTTGGCATTCGAGAGCTGATCAAGCCACCTATACTCCCCAAGCCCCCTGCAAAAGTGTTATTTACACACCAGTGTACGAGTGTGGCGTATCGAGACCGATCTATGCGTTGTGAACCATCATGGTTCCATGACCCGCGCCCCACACGACACTGCAAGCTTGGGAACGTGTATGACAATATGGTAAATAAGCAACGCCAATCATTCTACGGTTTGGGTGGATTGCAGAACGCATGCCAGACAAACGGTAGTGTGTAATCAGGGACGCTTGCACGCAATAACAAGAATTCTTCATAGGCTTCTAAGAAGAAACACATGAGATCGCCTTGCGCGATTACACCTGTGGACGGTCAGTTTTTTTTTTGTTTCATCATCATATCCACGATTCGCCAGCTCACGGGCACACCTGAAAACCAAGAAGCGGTGAAACAAGGGTGAAGCGGAGGACACGCTACGCAGCGTAAAAGGAGGAGGGGGAGGAGGAGGAAAAGGAGAGGACGCTGGGGATTACACGACCTCGAGGTCTGCCATCCAGGCCCTGCCTCCAGCGGTGCTTGCTGTAGGTCGGCATGGTCATGTAAGATTGCGTGCGCCACCGCGGACTGCAGGGCAAGCCCAAGGAGTTTCCACCAATTGTGCATTAAGCTTGAAGCAGCCTCTTTTTGGACACGCGCGTGCAGCCCCAGCGTATGCTCAAATGCCAAATTGGGAAAGTGATTCCCAATCCCGTCTTCGCAACTTAATTGTAGGTCGTGTTGTTTTTATTTTGATTGTTGTCCACTAAACGCCTTGTTGGCCGTCCCTGCCTGGGGGCAGCCGTTCCGAGAGATCGGGGAAAGGACGCACACACACACATCACAGAACAGCGGCACATCATGAGCAAATGACAACCCTCCACATCCAGCCAAATACCCTCTGGCCTTAGGGGATGGTCCCATGGTTGGCAATTCCACGCGTCCAATGGTTTGGAGACAGCTGCGCAACAACGTCTCCAGCGGGATCTCCCAGCACAACAGATCACGATAAATGCAGCTTTTGTGGTAAAAGCACGGTTCACGTGCATGGAGCCGTACGCGAGCGTGCGGCTGACGGTGCATCCAACAATTCCGGTTATCACGTGCAACAACGATCACTTCAGATGTGCAGTGCGCCGACGTTCGGGACTGGCTGTGGCTTTTCATGGGCCTGACCCGCATGGTTTTCCACGAGCGGACAACGAAAAGGCTCGCCCCAATGCACGGCATGCCGCCATGGAAGCAGCGCGGAGGCAAGTGTTGACGGAGACGGGCGGTGCAATACCAGGCCGTATTGTTGAATGTCTTCTACGGCGTACCCACATCTCAATACAAGCTGGGGACTTGCGACGAGTGAACCTCCAAATCGAAAGAGGCTCAGGAAACCTGGCCCCGGCAGCAATATCGCGCTACGTAGGTCGGTCATTCCACTAGGAGACACAGCCGTCACATCACAAAACAACGGACGGCCAGAAGCGATGTTCAGCCCAAGCACCACGAGGTCGAGATTTCTCCGATCGTCAATTGGGACTAGTACGCTTGTGCGTGCCAGTTGCCGTTCTACGTCGTACGTTGCGATCCGGGATGGACCCTCCAGCTTCGACCAAAACTTGGCGCCATCCCGCAACTACCTCCGTGTGTCTTCTATCGAGGCGCCCCCCCTCGTTGGACCCAAGGCTGGCGCACCCATGCGGATCGGGGCCATCGAACACAACAGCGATGCCCAACCGTCTGCGCACAACACACAAAAAACAAATCGTTTGGGAATGTCAGCGCAATAGTTTTTGGACACGTTGTGAACCATGTGCTCGCGTACGGACCTTGACAAGACAATGGCCGAGCCTTGCTTGTTGACACCGCATTCACACGTCGATTCCGTGCAGGGTGTGACCGTCGTAGGACGTTTTGTGCATTATTTCCCATAGCATCGGACGCATGACATTACCACCCGCGCTGCCACCCCCCTAATCCCACAAGCCCTCTGGGCGTAGGTGGTTTAGGGCATTTCCTCTTCCACCCCTCCTTATTCCCCTTCGGGGAGGGGTTTACCCCTCCCCGTAACCCCCTCCCCTGGACCTGGACGGGGGGGTTGGCTGGTACCCAGAGGATGGTTCGATCTCAAAATAAGATCCGATCTCAAAATGAGATCGCGATCTTATTTTGAGATCGTATGTTTGAAGTGTTACGCTTTTTTTGCGCGTTTGCAGATTTTCCGTTGACCGCATTCATTCCTGAAAAAACCTCACTCTCCAATGAACCTCTTATTCGATATATTCCGTCGCCCCCCCCCCCCCCCCCCCCTGATGTGTTTGTTGCGGTTGCTGCGTGCTTGCTCCGCGCGCCTCGCGCTCTCGGATCGAACTCGCGTGGACAGGGCCC